AATTTAAAATACTTTGAGTGTATTTAAAAACAACATATATTTTCATTAATCTAGTAAATCTTTTCAAAAAAAATTTTAATCCTTGCTTTTTTTAAATAAAAAGATAATGATATCATTTAGACATTTTATTCATCTTGTTCTCTTAACTATCATACCACATTTCGTTATCTCTACCACCATTCCCCTTACTTTTTATTGTAATCGTTATGTGCCAAGTGCAGCTTCCTTTAATACTTCAATCACTAATATAGTCTTGAAAGTTTCTGCACAACAAGGTCTATGTGTAGAAATTAGCAGTTCGGGTAAATATTTGAATAGAAGCATATTTACAGTCTCCAAAATTTCTTTTGCTGAGCCTATTTGTTTAGGTGACGTAGCTGGTGTTCAAGATAGTAGAGGGAGTTCTGTTTGGTTCTTGTCTCTGAAAGTATGAATTTGGTCTGGCTTGACAATGAATCCAAATTGGAATTTATCTTGTTAATAATAATATATTTTTTGTACAGTTATTGACATATTTTTATTTCATATATTTATATTAAAACTTCATTAAAATAATTAGTAAATTTCACAAGTTTAAGTTACTATTATTTGGTTATTATCATAAGTAATATTTTGGATAATAAAATACAAATTACTTGAAGAATTAATAAACAATTTTTTTTCACGCAAGTTGATCGAGGGAATGCGTTCAAAAAAAAAATCTAACAAGAATAGAGAGTTCACGTGACTAGTTAACAATATGTAATTAAAATACCGGTAAAAACTTTTGGTCTTTGTAATATAACAAGCAAAAATAATGAATAATAATTATAATAATTTGCTTGTAATTGATTTTTCTAAATTGATTAAATGAACTTTTTTTTATTAAGTCAAAATTCACATTGAAATTATAATAAATTATGTTTTAAAAATATAATTTGATTGACTAAATCAATATCTAGATCTAAACTATGATTTTTTATATCTGAAAACAGTCCTCCATTAGGAGCAGAAAAGGCTGGGATTGTTAGATATTTCTTTGCAAGTTTTGCTATCGTAAGAAACAACTGTTTATTCTCACGCCACCATGCCAAAGGATTATTTTCTTCAGTTATAGGCAATTGAAGTAATTCAAGATATTTGTCAAACTCAGTTTGTACATTTTCTTGAAAATATATTTGAAAAAATATCAACATTTTTGAGTCCTTATCTAAATTGTTAGGAGTTACTGGTTTTACAAGTTCTGTAAATTGTTCTCGAAGTTTATCTAAAATTTGACATCGAAGAACCTATATAAAAAAAAACTATATTACTTTATTTTTTTTCTTAATGCATTCAAACAATTAAAAGTATTATTTACTCTGTCAATATAAAGCATCTTTTTGAAATGAAGATTAAAAAAAGATCCATATAGTCCAAGAGTTGAAGGTACGCCAAAGTTTTTTGTAAAAATGTCTAGTATATTATTTATTATTTGCCGAATAACATCATTTTTAAGTTGATAAATATTAAGACGTTGCTTAAGATTTTCAATTGCTGAGGTCACAAAACTCAATGCAGGATATTTTGAACCTTTTAACATTTCAGTTAATTCATGGAATAAATTTAAGATGATGTCAAGTTCTCTACATATGTCAAATTTATCATCTGAAAACATATTTTCTTTTAGTTTTTTATTTTTTGCACTAAAATATCGAATTGAAGGTTGCAAAATTATTAAACGATGAATAGCACAATATATCGAACTCCAATCTTTGTCTACTTTTACAACATCCAATGGGTGTTTGATATTTGAATCAATTTGCTGCTGAATGTTTCTTAATTTTTGTCGATTCGTGTTATTGCTTAAAATTTTGATCAAATTTTTTGATTTGTTTATAATATCATTGGCAAAAGAAAGTGCTGATTCAATGCTAAATTGTAAAATATCTGCAAAACATGAAATGATTTCAATTTGCATTTGTGACAAAGACTCTTTCACAATATTATCAATATTGTTCGTGGTAATACTAATGATATTTTCATTAGTTAATTTAGATTTATATAATTGACTCTGAAGTTTTTCGAAAAGTTCTGATGTCCCTATAAAATTCGTCACGTAAAAACAACTTCGATTAATTTGAAATCATGTATAAGCCAATGACAAGTTACTCCAAAATAAGAGTGTATCCAAATATCTAAAGTAATAGCTAGAAACTCAGCAGTTTTTATAATTTTCTTTTGAATGAGGACTTCGGTTCTATTATATGTATTAATAACTATGTTTCTTATGATATTACTATCAGGAAGTTTAAATCTTGAATCAAGTGAACTACAAAATTGTCTAAATTCGTTATTATCAACAATTGATAGTGGAAGAGTGCAGGAAAGTAGCATTCTTATTAAACTATGAATATATTGTGAATTTGGATTTGAACATAAATTATCAAAAAAATTTTTTTTGAAAAGATTTACTAGATTAATGAAAATATATGTTGTTTTTAAATACACTCAAAGTATTTTAAATT